GGTTGAACTGGACTAGATTTAGTCGGCCCCAATCTGAAACCGCCGCTAAAGAAGTTTCAATTTCAGACACAAGTTTGTTTCGAGTCTCGATGACATTTTCCCAGAGAAATAATGGAGAGGCCGGTGTAAAGGGAGTCTTGGTGGATTTAAACTTCTACGGAGCATTATAGCTACGCTGACCTTTATTTACAATTTATCTTATGACGGCTTTTCTGGAGGCCTGTGAGATTCTAAAAATTCTACGGGATAGTTGGTAGATTCTTCTTCTTCCATACCTAACTCTATTGATGGAGATATACTCTACATTATCCCCCGGAACAAGTCTCAATATTTCAGGGTTTATTGCTGTCGCTTGATCGTTTCGTGGTGTCAAAATAGATGTTTTGCAAAGCCAGGAATTTTATCATGTCAATCATAAGTTGCTATTTGCGTTACGTTTCCATACACATACACATACATAAGGTGTCGCATCGATGAAACTGTACAACACAGGTTTTCATGTAAAACAACTTTTCGCTGTTCCTGTGGATACATACCGTTACCAAAGACCGGTGAAGCGCCAGCAAGCGAATTTTACTTTGGCTTTGTGCCTTCACCAACATAACTTTGGTAAGAAAAGTTATTCCAGGTCTTCCGCTTCTAAAAATTCCCTGTTGTTTGTTATAGATAAATATAATAGATTGCCATAATTGAAAGAATGCAACGTTGTTGCAAAGTAAAATAATTTCGTAGACGCAATGTGTAATGGATTTTTTTTTATTTAAAGTCCGTAATATGTTAGTTAACTACTAAACTAACCTAACAAAATAAATAACAAAAGAATACACATTAAATTTAACAATTAAAACCACCTACTTACGTGAAAACACTTATTTTTAACCGACCGACCTTCAAAAACACAATATATGGATGTTTGTTACGCGATATCTCCGTCAATTGTTCACCGATTTGCAAAATTCTTTTTGCAATCAAAAGGGTATGCTTCCGAAGTTGTCCCATTATCACCAAATCAGGATCTGATGATGGGATCCTAGAGAAATCGAGGAAAACCCTCAAATTTTACAGGCCCGACAACGTGTTTTAGCTTATTTCGCTAGGTTTATAGGTATTTGCGTTTAGTAGTCGTTATGTCATGTTGCTGAGCTGATGATGAAAGGATCCTTGACCTTTAGGAGTTAGAAAATAACTATTTAAAAAATCTAATTATGCATTGACCTTGTTTTATTCTTTCAAGATATTTATTAGGTGTTTGTGTGGAGTTACAGAGATATGTGCACAAAATAGTAATAAATGAGATTACAAAACATTTAGACAAAAAAATATATTTGTTACGCAATTATTTTCATGTTTGTTACCTCAAAACCTCACTTGTAAACCGATTACAGAAATTATTATTTTATTTGGAAGGATATATTTTCCCTTTAGTTCCATTCAAAATGTGAAGAGAACTACCACTCCTAGTTTTGTAAATTTAAGTAAAGTGAACAACAATATATTTTCGGGTTTTAATGTAACATCTTATTACCTTATCTAAATAAAGTAACGGACTTATTAAACTATATTTAATATAATCTAACATACTACGGTTTGGTACTATGCAGTACGGTACGTAGTATTTTAAATATTGTACTTCTACTTATTACAAACATTTCTTACACTAAAAATAGTAAAATAAATCCTTTTAAAAAAAACTTGAACCAACTTCAAACAATACTGACAAAAAGCACTAAAAAACCGGTTAGGTATGAGTCGAACTCGTGCGCTGAGGGTTCCGTACCTACTCAGATTTTACGTAGATTTTCGCGAAAATTTGTAAGTACCAAAGTTTTATTAATTTTCAACTTTTTTTGCTTTTTGGAATTATGCCTTTATTTGTACTGTAAGACGTTTCTTTTACCAAATTCCGTGATTCTAGGTCAATGGGAACTACCATATAGGTTACCCAAAACCGATAGGGTACTTCCGGTTGACCTAGAATTGTCAATTTTGGTTAAAAGCAAAGTCTTACAGCACAATAAAGAGAAGATTCTGAAAAATAAAAAAAAGGTGAAAATTAAGGAAAATTTTGGTACTTACAAGTTTTCGCGAAAATCGAAATTTGCCCATATCTTTTTATGGTGTTGACTCAGGACCTTGATTTTTATACACCTAATAGGGACCAGTATCTAGTACCTCTCTAGTAGTAGACCTCAGTATCTAGTATAAATTTCAATTTGCTAGGTCTACCCGTTCCTGAGAAAATCGGTGGTGACACACGGACAGACATTTATTTACTTACTTTTTTAAAGGATTTATTATTTATTTTATTAAAATAAATAATAAATGTGCGTCCCTGACATAGGTGCTTAGTGCATAGAATAACTGAGTACTCTAAGCACTTAGGCAGCAGGTTACAATAACATGGGTTATAGTTACTTCTTATAAATAATGTATTTCAGTATAAAATATCAATATTCGTAAACCAATACGGAAAAAAATTTAAAAGTTGTACGCTTTATCGGCGTGGGCTGGGCAAACGGTTCCAGTTAAAGGAATATATTGTATGGCAATAATATTAGTCTTATTAGTGAATTTATACTGTATATTTTGTGTGTATAAAAAAAATAGTTTTAAAAACTAAAAAACACGCGTTTTATAGAAAACCAAACTAAAAAATAGAAAATCAATTTTAATAAATTTGAAAAAAAGCCTGTTGTCAATAGTAAAAATAGTTTTTTTTTTAATTAGTGTATTTTCATCGGTCCTCGATATATCTACAAAGTTTGAACGAATTCTGACCGTTTAAAGTCAGTCAAAATCACGCCCAAAGGAGTCGGTTACAAACAAACATACAAGTGAAGCTAATATAAAGCATGTAATGAAGGATTTTATCACTACGGAAATTTTATAAAAATAAAATTTGTCTTTTACTGCATAAAATTTGAGTGTATTGATGAGGAGATAACTTGATATAACAAAAAACAGAAGACATGTACGAATTACTTTTTTGACAGGATTCTTTAAATTTATAGTACTTTTTTTATTTCTGAAGCGATTAAAATAAAACTGACATTTAACTTTAAGTGAAGTTTACAACAATACATTAGTAAAAACCGCGTTCAAATCAGTTAACCCGTTAAGCCTAAAATTCTCAAAAATTCTAAAATTCGCAGACAACAATTCTAAAAACTAATAATAACCTCACACACCTCACACAAGGCCATCTGATCCCAAACTAAGCAGAGCCTGTGCTGTGGTAACCAGACTATTGATAAACATACTTATATAATTCTAAATACATACCATACATCTATAAGACATAGTATATACGAGTACATACAGCAATAAGATATATACATTATATTTCGTATAGATAAATTACACCCAGACACAGAACAAAAGATGGTGCTCATCACACAAATGTTTGTCCTGGGTGGGAATCGAACCCACGACCTTCGGCTTAGCAGTCAGAGTCACTAACCACTGGACCAACAGGCCCGTCGAAACTGTTGTTGTAAGTTCTGTTACTTTAATAAGGTAAGTAGGTAAGGTAATAAGGTAAGTAGGTAGGTAAGGTAAGTAGGTTTTCTTCCATATCTATAATGTACAGACATCGACCTGTTACAATTTTATTATTTAGATATTTCATACATTTTGGTCTCAGTGTCTCTAGTATTGATCTGGCGGCTAGTGAGCCAGACTACAGGCCGGAATTTGATTCGTATCAAGTACTAATAAAATAATTGTGTGATGTGCACGATCATCTCACAATAAATATAACTCACAACTGTAGACTCAATTATAGTATATCTATAGTATATTCAGTAAAAAAAAACTGTCTACACGTATTTTTTAACACATCTCTCAATAATGATAAACACTACTCGTCTTGAGCACGGCCTCACTGTGATTTGGGTATAAAGCGTTTGTCACAAATCAATGTTAAAGACTCCGATTACACCCTCACCTCGTCAAGTTACATGAGTCATGGTGTGAATCTAACCGAAACCGATAATTTAGACTAGTGCACACCGATCCTAGTAATGCCAGACTTCCATTAGTAAGAGTATCGCGTCACGGGGGCTTTACATACATTCAAACAACAGACACAAAGAAGACTCTGAATCTGGGCAAGTATGTAGCGATCGCATAATTTATTTTAATACCCGCAGTCCGTGTGGTGATATACATACATCAACAGCCTATACTAGTCCACCGCTGGACATAGGCCTCTCCTTACAAAGGAGGTTTTGGCCTACTATACCACGCTGGCCAGACGGGTTGGTATAGGGTTTGTTTCAAGTTTTCCTTCTCTTTGCAGTGCTGTTGTCCTGCTTAGTTTGCTCCCTTAGTCGGCTCTTACGACACCCACCGGATGAATTGGGGTGGTGACAATTTGTATTCTTAATCCGTCACCACACGGACATCCGTCACCACACGGACATCCGTCACCACACGGACAGCCACCACACGGACAGCCACCTCACGGACAGCCACCAGACACCAGCGTGGTATAGTAGGCCAAAACCTCCTTTCTAAGGAGAGGCCTATGTCCAGCAGTGGACTGTTAAGGGCTGTTGATGATTGATTACCCGCAGATATTGACCCACCCTAGCACTCAATATCATAACGAGATTCATGCTTTAAACCTGCTTAAAAACTTCGTTGGTGGTTTAAACTTCTTTCTGCACTGAATGTTATGGGTTCTATCCCCACTTTGTGTGATCCACTAATTGTTGTTCTGAGTCTGGGTGTTATTTGTGTTCTTTTCATGAATGATTATAAGTCCCCCGCGACACAGGATATATTCCTAATGCGGGCGGTGTCTTAAAAAAACAGGAACTGATTTACAGTTTCAGCTCTTTTACGAAATATAATTTGTTTTACTATAATAATACCAAATTTTTATAACAATATATAATTGCAATATTATATACAAGGGCTTATTTTATTAACAAGCATATCTGTTTAATTACAATGAACATCTAACAGAATCTCATCGGATCCTTAACGCTTGTCATCTACCAGGCACTATACACGGCGGGGGCAACAAACTGATTAGTTACTACAGCAGGTGAGGAGTGCACGTCGTAGCGAGACTGGTGAGAAACCGAAGCTCCACCCTGGTAAGCGGAAAGTACGGGTGCGGTGTACAAAGAACGAGCTTCAATCACGGTGGGAGCGTCAACAACTTGTTGAGCGACGACCGGGGCGGTAGCAAACACCTGTTCTGTGACCACAGCCGGTGAGTTGTGTACATCCACACGTGACTGATGAGACACGGCAGAAGCACCTGCATAAACTGCAGGAGCAACGACTGCAGAGACCACTTCTGCTGGAGCAGCAGCCACCACCTCAGGAGAAGTTCTTACATCTACACGTGACTGATGGGATATAGCAGAGGCGCCAGCATAAACTGCAGGGGCAGCAACTTCTACTGGAGCCGTAACTACCACTGCTGGAGAAGAACGCACATCAACACGGGATTGATGTGACACTGCCGCTGGTACAGAATAACCTATTGCACGTACTGAGTAAGTAACTGCAGGGCCGACATGAGGTGCGGCTACGGCCACGGCGACAATGGCGAACAACACCACCAACGATCTCATTTTGAACGAGGTCTGTGTAGGGATCCGAATGAGGACGATCACTTCGTACCGTATTCGGCCGACTGATGAAAGACTTAGAATCGTCGCTCTATTTATACGTATGATTATGATCTATGTAGGAGTGACTTTTTTGGGCGTCAAGGAACAAAGTAGCTGTCCTTGCTGTAGCTTGTAGTACCAAAATCAGATGACGATCTTTAAAGGTCGCACTTGCTGTTATCAGTTTGCATTGTACTTAATTTCGATGATGTAATTCATGTTTGTACTTATCTTTGTCTTTTGTTGTACGTTTTCAACACTTTCATTCTATGTCGAACATCTACATTCGTCCTTTTGACAACAAATGTCAGTCGCGGTAAATTCCCCTTCATAGATTTCTACACCAGCTGTACCCTGCCACGCTTCGCTGTGGCACATTGTGGTTGCATTGATAAGAAGAAATGAGGCAAAAAAACTAACAAAAAAATTAATAGTAACAATCTCTGTAGCGGCCTGTATATCGTGTCAAAATTAGAATTCAACCGGTTCAAAACTCTTGAGTTTTTGAGGCGTACCACCTAGGTACCACCTAGGTGGTCCTGTGCACTTCTTAAGGTACTAATTAATTATATATATATATATATTTATTAATGTCTGTCTACGTTATTGCTGTTTTTTACACTTGTGCATAAATCGAAGCGCAAGGGCATTACCTTCCTTTTCTCGAAGTGCCTCGTCGTTTTTTGAACCCTCATAACTTGGGTTTGGATTATATCAGATAAAGATAAATTAATAGTAGACTTGTTAAACATATTAAGTTTCAATTACTTTCGCAAATTTTGATGCTAGAGGTCTGATAACTAATTTAACAAAGAAAAAGGCAAAGACCGAGATTGGGCTATAAAAAAACGCACAAAATTAAAAAATATTGTCATAACCAATTTACAAAAAGAAGCGAAATAACACCAAAAATATTTTCATGTAAAATATTGGCAAGACGAGACTATATCAAAAACTTTTCAGATATTATGTAAAGCCAAACAGTAGTACTATATTACTACAACGCCTTAGTAAAGAACTATTTGGAGTATTGTTCCACTGTGTAGTCCTCATATTATTCAACGCAAGTAGATAATGTGGATTCAATTCAGACTCACTTCATCGGGTATTTGTGCATAAAAAACGGTTTCCGTAAACGATTCCACAATACAGGGACAGGTTAAAACATTTTTGCATGTTAAGCTTAGAAGAAGGACGCGTTTATTTTGACTTATTTATACTAGATAAAATTATAAAAGGTTCGTTAGATGCGCAATTGATAAACAACTTTAACTTTAGGATTAATACACGTGTAATGCGTCCCCATCGTACATTTGAAATACCTGTATCTACTTTAAAAACCACGGCAAGGCTGTACAGCGAGAGGTCTAAGAATGTTGCCGAACCTAATTCTTAGAGCGCCTGTTTTGTTCTGTTTTATCTTTGCTGTCCTTTACATATATTTTTTCAGTTTCTAGTTTTGTTTTTTTTGTGTGTGTGCGTATCTTTATGAATTTAATTGACATTTGCATAAAAAAACTCTTTACATTGGATAAATACTAAGTGTCATGCCTATCTGTTATCTGTGTAATTACATGAAACTTAAATTATGAAAATGTTATCGCCCTTATCTGATGTTGTAATTATGCTGTTGATGTGCTTAATATAAATAAATAAATACTTCGTTGATTGTGTGCGAAAACACAATACAGTACAGAAAATAGTAGGATTTTGAGTTTTCCAGAAAACAAATAAGATAGAAACTATATTTGGACAAACTTTGATAATTATAAATAGAGCTTAAGTTAGATATAATACATGAGCAAACCGCCACATTTAAAAATGGATTTTAAGACATCGCCAGATTAAGTAGGTCTCAGGGCTCTCACATAAGGGGGTCAAATGGTTATTTCTTTCAGGTATTCTAATGATAAACTGGCATTATGCTTATTAAATCCCACTTTTTGATTACATAATGTGCTACTATACTACATGCTATGTACATGCTATATGCTCCCATACTATATGTTTGCATATAGTTTATAGGAAAGCATATCTGAAGAGAAGCAAATGGAATTAAAAGGGTCCGTTTATACGGATGGAACGAAAAATAAATTCAAAAAAATAGTAATGTTTTATTTAAAAAGATATATATAAAAAAAGTTATTCTGAATCCTCAACGTCCTTGTTATCTAGTAGGCAGCAAATACCGCTCCTGGGGCTGCGAATGGAGCGAACACTTGGCCGCCATAGTAGTTGTGAGCTAGCGGACCACCGAAAACGGGATTAGCCGCATAGAAAGCGGGCGCTAGTCCTGCACCATAGGGGGAAGCAGCAACCAATTGCTCAGTTGGTACAAAATGCCCGTTGTAGTCGACTCGGGATTGATGGGACACTGCCGATGGCACTACGTAACTCACAGGAACTTGTTGTTGGTAAGCCACCAACTGACCGCCGTGAGGGGCGGCTACGGCCACGGCGACAAGAGCGAACAACACCACCAAGGATCTCATTGTGATCTAGGTCTGTGCAGGGATCTGAATAACGATGAACACTTTGTACCGAACAAAGTCGACTGATGAGTAATACTCGTACACCATCTTCTCACTATATATACCAATCACAATAATTTATGTATATGTAACTGATAAGTGGCCAACTTCTTTAAAATTAATTGCTCTATAATGTGCCCGTCCTTGAGAACCAAAATAAATTAATAGTAACAAAAAAGGTCATACTTTATTAGGCATAGATATACCTACTGTAGGCCGGATAAGTCAGATTGTACATAATGTCATGTATGTTTGACATTTAGGTAAGTCATAAACTACACAGGATGTCGTCCACACTGAAAAAAAAGCCTTACAATCTTGTTATTTTCTACAAATATTGATTACATCAAGGCAAACAACTTTATTTTCCGCAATTAAGAAGTATCAATGGCTATTAATTAATTCTAATTAATCAATAAATACACAAAGACATACTAAAATAGCTATAACTTATACTCGTAGAACCCTGTAGTATTGAGACAACCATAATAAAATGGGTCACGTTGATTATCAACCATGTGACATTATCCTGTGTCATCTTTATAAAATCATGTTAACAAAATACTTTTTCCTATTTTTTAAGAAGGAAATCCTTTAAACGCATTATGCTTCCCTTCTCAAAAAGACATTACACAGAAAAAGACATACATGTTACACCTAGTGAATAATAATAATATAATATTCTACCACATTCACACTAACGCCATCCAGTCCTAAACTAAGCAGAGCTTATACTATGGGTACTAGACAATCGATATAAATACATAAATACTTTTTTGTTGTAAATACATACTAATTATATATAGAAACACCAAATCAAACATTAAATGTAAATGCACACAAATGTTTGACTTGAGCGGGAATCGAACCCGCGACCTTTGGAATAGCAGTCCGTTACACAAACGACTACGCCATCCTGGTCGTCTAGTCATAATAATCATCGTTATATACATGTCATATGTATATTTCCACACGACTACTTACTGATTAGAAAAACTTTCACAAAACAGGCAAAAATCGTCTTTTTCTTTTCTTTATGAAGGAGAGGGGGAGAGAGAGAGAGGTCAAAACACAGAGATGTTAACCTGTAATCCCTGGTGGTGCAGTGGTAGCGTATGCAACTGCTGAGCTGGGGTCTCGGGTTCGGTCAATCTAGCTTTCAAAATACAAACTCTGCTTAGTTTGAAACTAAATGGCATTGTGTGTTAGATGTCCAAAATATTATTATTAAGAATCAGCAGAACTATTCCTGGTTTTAAATATACGGTCATATGGGTTCTTTGCCCAATTCGTTTTTCGTTACACTTTCTATAGGGTAGGTAAAAAGTGCATACAGGGATTACTATAAAAGAAATGAGATTTCATCGAAAATATAACATATAAAAATCCAACTCTTACAAGTTGCAATGTCATGTACCGAAAAAAAAGAATGTAAGATCAGATAGTGATATTTTCAATAATAGATATCTACTATACACGGCGATGGAACGAATCTTTGTGCCATTAAAGCGTAATATCATCGAAAATTACTATTACGTATATATATATGTATAATAGTATAGTAGTACTCATTATAGTAATTACTATGAGTCACAGTTAATTATTTTATATTCATATTAGTTATATTTTTAAACATACAGTTTATAAAAAAAAACATATTTAAAAATATAAAACCACCGACATCGGGTTCAGGGACCAAGACACCGGTGGTTAGGACTCCAAAGAAAGGAACCTCCTCACTATACGGCATTGGCTATCAATCCGTGAGCAGATACGTCTATCAGAACAATGATCACTGAATCGACATTCCACATATCGACAATCTCGTGAAATAAATCCTAATATGTTATTTGTTTTTATTTTTCAACTTTCACGAAATTCTCGTCATGAGGAACGGCGATATCAATAATCATTGCGCGGTGCTCTAATCGATTTATCACTACAATATCAGGATTATGGGCAACAATAGGCCTGTCTGTGATAATAGGTCGATCCCAATACAACATGGCCTAACCTTTCTCGAGAACTGGGTCGGGCACATGCTGGTAGTATAGATTTATGCATCATCTCAAATTTCTTCCTAATCATCTGTCTCCTTCTTCACTTCATCACGTTTTAGTATTACACCTGTGGAATCAAATCCTGAGCTCAATTCAAAAGCATTTAGCATGTAATAGTTTTGACAATAGTGACGATAAATTATCACTAACCAATATCTGTAGGCTTTCATAATTACAATTACTAATATATGTATATTTGGTTAGTGATAAGATAAATAAAATATTTTTATCTGTAACGTAGTCAGCTCCCCTAAGTATTGTGTATTACGTGGTTCTGTGTCATATGTACGAGTACCTCATATAAACATGACGAACTTGACATTCAATAGTACCATGCCGGAGAGAAAGGTGGACACACATATAAGGAACTGGAAGGATTAAGAAGGCGGAGACTGTTTTTTAAATGATCTTATTGTGGTAAATCTACGTTGCTTCAATTGTTGGTCTCTGACTATTTTAAAAAGTTTCCTTATTAAAAGCGTTTTCAAATTAAAAGCTTGATTAGGCATAATCAATTCAATCGGTCTTTGGTTCCAACTACGTACATTATTTGATTTAATTTCAATACAATTAAAATTTACACCCAAGAGTCATCACCCCGATAAACGTAACAATTTAATTATAATAGCAATAATTCATCTCAACCCTTCCATTTGGGAGCTATAAAAGCCCAAACAATATGGGTTGGTATGTTCTTACTTATAACTGAGTAAACGTATCGCATACACTAGTTTTACTCTTTTTTTAATATTTGATGTGAATCTGTCGTTGACCCCTTAGATAAACAGCTGTTTTTTCTGTGGTAACGTAGTATATATACAATACACTGTCTACCATATTGTTTATCGGTTAATTTGAGCACCTAGAACAAATTGTCTCGTTATCACGTTGTGAAACATGGTATAGAAGGCCCTGCTAAATTATTATTATTTATGCTACATGTTCATGTAGCTGTAACATAACTTACAAATACTTAGCCTTTTGCTAAATATACTCAGACCATACATAGTTGTAACTCTTGGTATAATAATATATTATGAGATAGCAACACGAACTAACAAATGAGTTTAATAGCTTGCCGAACTCCCCTCACACCAATACCGCAAACCACAGTACATACAATACATTATGTGACTGTTCAAAGTGGAGCATATCTAAGGAAAAGGCCTAGTGGTTTAATATTATTTGATACTAACATTACCAACTGTCTTAAATATGTAATTTATATATATAACACGTGGCACCTTAACATACTCGGGGCACTGTAGAAATGCTCGTTAAGACCGTAGGTGGTTAAATTTTCTACGGTGCTTGGTGAGCCTTCTGAAACATAAGAGTGTGCAAGTCCTCCATCGTTTACGTTCTGAAACATCTTTAGCTGACAAAGTCGCCTGCACTCTAATTTTTAGTGCTCTTCTAGATCGCGAACTCGTGGTGGTAACGCTACTTAAGCTCTGTTTTGATTTCTTACTTTCACGGTAACTGGTAGTGTTTATATTATTCACGGAAAATATTGATAATCGCATTCAAATAAAAGAAAAACTAAAACACGAATATCGCTTACTCAAGCATTTAGCTAAGCTGGACATTAACAGGAAATTATTTTTTTTTTTAATTATTTTTGGGTTAGCAATGGGGTCACATATTAATACATTATCTAGTGGTGGTAGTACAGTAGCACCCGATGCCAGTATCCTTCACCTAAAAAAACTTTATCTTTATCTATTGGTCTGGTAACAGTCGGCTGTGCCAGAAAATAAATATAGCTTCTTTTAATTAATTAGTCAGTAGTTAGTTCTAGTTAGTAGTAGAGGGAGTTTTTTAAGTATGCTCTAATACTAAAGATCGCCATGCTGCCGTATTTCGTACGTTTTAAATGTCTTGTTTTAATTAATTGACCAGTATAATTCGAACTGCCATAGTATAGGCTTTTCTGTCATAACAGGCCACCTGTCTTGTCGTAATAAAAAAGCTTATATAATAAAATAGAATAAAACTATAGTGGTCCAGTATACTTTCTTATAGGGTGAAAAAGCTCTTCGCATCTCTAGCTCCTTGGGGCGCAGGAGCAAGTGGGAGGTATGTAATGCTTAAACTAAAAACCACTTCGATGGCCGGCCAATCTATATATTATTATGTTCATGGGAATATCTGTCCATTGCCTGGCGTTTCGACCAGGTTGCACTGGCCGTAGTCACAGGCTGACTGAACCAGGCAATTCAAAAGCACTTTATACCTATCGTGAGTTAGTTAATACCTGTAAATTTATTTATATAGCAAGGAAAACGAATGGTTCTGTCCTTTCTAAGTAGAGGCCTATATCTAGCAGCTGACTATTAAAGGCTGTTGGTGATGGTGATTTTATAAATATGAAAATATATATGATATATAGGATACTATATATAATATATTAGTTTAAAAGGGGGTACTAAGAATTTTCTTCAAGTCAAGGTAAGACCTACCTGTAGTTAAGAATCGCGCCATCTGGTATGTATCTGTCATACTATAATAAAAGTGAGATCGGCCGTCAAAAATTCTCAACCAGACGCTAAGTATACGTTAACCAATTGTATGTAAAGGTAGCGCCATCTAGACTATTTTTACACAGGCGACTTTGAAGATACTATAAAGTCGTTTTTACGTTTAATCAAGGGATGGCGTTGAAAGCTTTCGAAAAATATTGCTGCTATTAACTAAACTAGGCCTTAAGCAATAGAGCCAGGCAAAATTCAATTATTTATATAATAAAGGAAATAAGTACCCATCTTGTTAATCAAAAACATAACTACGTTTATAGTTTAATCTCGTCGCGTAAAATATATTTTGGAAAACATTTTTAAGTCGTTTAACCTTTCTTCACACAACTCAGTAGCTGGTATTTTTGATTAAGGTAACTGGTAT